CGTGGGTATGAATAGTACGAGCCGCTCGACCCAATTGCCACCGCTACTAGGACATTCCCTTTCCTTTCCTTGGCATTGTTTTCATTCCCTACCATTATATACTTTGATCTGGGGTTTTCGTCTTTACATTATCGGTTACATAAGGTGCAAAAATTGCAGGGCCCAAGGAAGAAGATCCTACTTTCCCTGCTGCCTCGTTCCAAACGACCAGCATGATATGCATATTCCTACATGCAAGAAAGATTGCGTTACTGCCATTAATGTTAAAGAAGGAACTCAAATGATATTCTGCTGCATTGTATTTTGTCCTGCTTTTGGTTGGAAGGTCGCAAAATCTTGCCATTAAAATTTTAATGATGGTATTTTGTATCCTTTTTTTTTTCTGATACATGGTCTTTACCTGGTATGTGTAAGAGGAGTGCTTTTGCATTTTGAATCGTGCAATTGAATTTTTTGGAAACTTGATGCATAGTGGCCGGAAAATCTCGTTGTGTTATGCCAAATATAAATGAAGACCTTTATATGGCTACAGCTTTTCAGTCCCAGGTTGTAAAGGGAGTTAAAAAGCATATAGCATGAAAACCTTTTTTTTTTTTTTGGACATGTTTGATAGGAACAATCTGATAATATTGGACGTGGTTTTCACAATAATGAGAATATGACTAGGATTTTAAGTTTTATTGATAACCATTCATGATTATGAATTTATAATCTAATATGTTCATAACATAGTGGCAATTAATGTGGTTATAATGTTTGGGCTAGCGTGTGCGTGTGTGTATGCAGTGGCGGAGGAGGTGGGGCCAATGGTGTCCTTCGTCCCCACCGAAATGTTTTCGTAGTTAAATCAAGCCACCTAAGTCAATAGAATTTGCTACAATAGCACACTGAGAAGGCAGCAAGCAATGTGAAAGGAATTTAAAAAACTATGTTTGAGGTGTCTTAGGTTATGTTTAGTCAATTTTAGCTTTATTACAAGTTTCTCATTTACTTTTGCCCCCTATTATTTTGTCGATAAGAGGTAAAATCTAGTCTACAAAAATTCGATTGTGACTTCTGAGGATAGCTAATGGTAGGGTCATCTTGTGATCCTCCTCCATGAAGGGATATATGTAAGTGTCAAAGAAATCAATCAAGTGCTAGAATTAGAAATCAATCTTCTCCATTGTGTTATATCGCTTCACGATGATAAACTAAGCTCTCATTGGGTGGAAATTAAAATCTAAATTTTAATTTAAGTCAAAATCAACAATTAATATTAACCACATATTTTATGGGTCCCACACATTTCATCAATTTCTATAAAAATTTGTTAAAAATCTGATTTTGATCTCCATCAAATTTATCTAACAATAAGTCAAATAATATAATGGTGGTTGACATATTTTATATAAATCCTCACCCACCTACATTATTATTTTAAACATATCATAGCATGCCTATTTTGAATTCTTCTCATAAACCCTAAAGGAATAAAGCAAATGGAATAAGACTAACAAACAATAAAAAAAACAAAGAGAGGGAATGGAATTGATGGACAATAGAATAAAAACACAATCTAATGTAGTTACAAACATGTTCCAAAGCTAAATAAAAAAAAGTGGGACCAAACTAAAACAACTTTCCAACACAAATGTTCTTGTTGTACATTGATTAATACCAGATGATGACTGGATTCACATTAAACATAGCTTTTTGTCAGCTCTAAGAAGATATGCATAGATCTCATTGAAGACCTTAATGAGTATATATGCTTACGCCATCACCCACTTACTTATATTCCAATCTCCTATCATTTTTTTAATGCAATCCCAAAAACATGGTCAAGATTAATATATTTGGGGTTTTTCTTTTTAATTATTATTGTATGGGGAGTGTGCCCAACCACTTTATATGTTTAAACAATTAGTAAGTTAATTGCGTGCAAACGATTTTTATTTTTTTCAATTAAAAACATGATATGAGCAATGGAATTTACTCTACAAATATTTGTATTTTGATACTATATATTTTGATACTATATTCTTAGTTTATTCAAATCTGGTTCAAATTTTTTGTTCGATTTTGGGGTGTCCAAAACTTTCAAACTGTCCAAAACTTCCAAATCTAGAACCGATGGGTTTGGGTCGGGTCTTGGTTCTAGAACAAGAACTGAAAAATCGAGCGATTCATCATAAGTTAAATACCCGGATGGGTATCCAAATCTAGAACCGATGGGTTTGGGTCGGGTCTTGGTTCTAGAACAAGAACTGAAAAATCGAATAAGAACCGAATCTAAATAATTTTTTTTATTTTTTATATTGAATTAATTAAAGTATTTTATTTTTTTCTAAAAAAATTAGTAGATTAATTAAATAAATCAGAACATTTCATAATTTTAATTTTAAAACCCAATACCCAAATCATTTTAAAGCCAAATACTTGTATATGGATTATTGATATGGATCACTGATATTTTAATATTGATATTTACTTTTTGATATTTGTATGCATTGAATTAATTTTATTGAANTTAGTTGTATTTATATAGTGTTGCCGTAAATGTTAAAAAAATTAATTATAGTATGGAACAGAATTGAACTAAACCGAACCCGAACGGTTCCATAATTATATTTGGACCCGACATGTCCATTTATTAAATACCCGAAATTTTTGTGTAGGTCCGGTTCTCTTCAAAACTGAACCAAACCGACCCACGGACAACCCTAGTTAAATTGGTCGAACCAATCTAACTTGATTACACGATCTGAAAGTTAATTAATTTTGAAAAATAAAATAACATCTATATATTTGAATTTCAAGATCGGACGAGACATTTCAAACAATATACCTCCGTTTATTTCTCATTTTCATCCATAAAAATGAAAANCTCATCTCTTCCCCTCAACTATTGACAAACTCTACCGATCTACGAGATCTCCGTTTGAAAAATATAACCGTTATCCATCACATCAAGCCATCAATTTTGAATTTCTATATCTTGTGTGGGGCTCAATAATAGTTATATTTTTCATTCTCATTCTACAATAATGAGAATTAAACGGGCCCATATTGTAATATTGTATGACATAATTTGGGGTGCTGTAGTAGATGGGACTAGACATCTACCCATAGATATTTAATGTAGTTTATGCTTTGGAATTTTTTTAAGCTTTTGGTAGAGAACAAAACATGAATACATTAATTAGTTGATCAATCAAAGTAAGCTTATTTTAATTAACAGTTTAAATACAAAGATAGATTTGTTGGAAAAGGTTAGATCTTCTAATTCCTTCAAATTGATTACATCCTATTTTTTTCTTGACTTTTTGTTATTATCTTAATATAATAACAATCCTCTTTTTGAAGCATGGAATATTTTTATTTAATTGCTCAAGTTGTATTATAAAATTGCAAGTTTTTTAATAATTAAATGAGGTGCTTATAGACCAATGTTTCATATATAGTCTACTAACAAATTCTCGAAGTTTTGGTGTATCTAGTTTATCAATATATTATAAAGCGACAAGTCACTTTTATTGAAATTTTAAACCGTCAAAGAGGGAATAATTAATTAATTAATTTTTTGTTTACAGTAGTTTTTTCATCAAAGACATGTCACTAATACGTACTAGAAAAATTTAGCTCTTGTGGGTAGTTGATTTTTTGATAAGTGATTTTCTTCTTATTATTATTTTTTTAAG